TTGCAACAGAGGTCATGGAATCATAGAGTCACAGGGTTGGAAGGGACTTTGGAAGTCATGGAAGCACAGAGTTACAGAAATGGAAGCAACCTTGGAGGTCATGGAATAATAGCTGTAGGGGTTGCAACAGAGGTCATGAAATCATAGAGTCAAAAGGTTAGCAGGAACCTTGGAGGTCATGGATTAATGGAGTCATGGGGTTGCTCTGAATCATAGAGCCACAGGGATGGAAGGGACCATGGAGGTCATGGAATCACAGTTATATAGGGGTTGCAATGCAGGTTTTGGCATCTTCGAGTCACAGGGGTGGAAGTGAGGCTACAGTATCATGGGGTCATAGGTTTGGAAGCAACCTTGAAAATCAAGGAATCGTGGAGTAATAGAGTTCCAAGGGAAGTAATGGAATCATAGAGTCACAGGGTTGAAACGGACCTTGGCCATCTTGGAATAATAGAGTCACAAGGTTGGAACCAACCCTGGAGGTCATGGAATCATAGAGTCACAAGGTTGGAAGACACCTTGGAGATCATGGAATCAAGTGCCATAGAGTTTTATAAGAGACCATGTAGTTCCACACAGGACTCCTCAGACTATCTGAGACAAAACGGACATCCAATCTTAGCTGAAGACCTTCCAGTGACGGAGCCCGCAAAATTCTAGAATTAATTTTGTTTTGTTGTGATTTAGATTCTAGATTGGGGGGCTGGGGGGGTCCTCACAAACTTGGCCACTTTAAGGCTTGTGGACTTCAATTCCCAGAGTTCCTAAACCAACATGGCTAGCTGACGAATTCTGGGAGTTGAAGTCCACAAGTGGCCAAATTTGGAAACCCCTTGTTCTAGATTAATCCAGCCTTTTTCTAGCAGGATACAAATACTGACCGGGGTTTAAAGTAAAACAATAATAATAATTAGAAGATGATATGGTTTGGAAAGATTTTGAATCCTGCTTCAATATACCACAACCACGTGCACAACCACGTTTATTTGAGGAACACCTCCTGGGTGGAATATAATCCCTTTGTAACAAAAAAAAAAAGAAAGAACATACATTACCCTCAACTTTATTTCTTGGTTCCGCATCTTCAGTGTCAGCCCTGGTTTTTCTGTAGACATGGGATTCATACTTCTTGGACAGCTGTCTTCAGCCAGGGAGACCAAGTCAGTCAGATCAATTTTCTCAATATACTGGAGGTGAGGAAGAACAAGTACAAAAGTACAAAACCTTTGCCAGACCACTTCTCGAATACAGCTTGTCCGCCTGGAACCCGCACAGTATATTGGACATTAACACGCTTGAGCGGGTTCAGAGGTATTTATCGAGAAGAGCCCTCCACTCCTCTACTCACCATAGTACTCAACTATGCCTCCAGGCTCAAAATGTTGGGCCTGGACAATTTGGAACCACACCGCCTGCAGTCTGATCTAAGCATAGTGCGCAAAATTGTCTGCTATAACATCTTGCCAATGTCAATGACTTCTTCAGCTTCAACCACAATAATACACGGGCAAACAATCGATACAAACTCAAGGTAAACTGCTCCAAACTCGATGGCAGAAAATATGACTTCAGCAACAGAGTGGTCCACGCCTGGAACGCTCTACCCGACTTCCGTTGTCACATCCTCAATCCCGCACAGCTTCAACTTCAAACTGTCTACCGTGGACCTCACTCCATTTCTAAGAGGTCCTTAAAGGGGGTGTGCATACGTGCACCAACGTGCCTACCGTCCCTGTCTTACTGGGCCCATTTATCTGTATTTACTCCCTTTGTTCATATTTATGTTCATACCTATACTTGTTATCTTGTACACGTTTGACAAACAAATAAAATAAAAGTCAGTTTCCAAGCTTCTGGTCCTCAAGGGTGCAGTTTATCCAAGTCAGCTGCCACAGCTAGCTTTCTTCCTCCTCGTTTACATTTATCTCTACCTGGTCAAACAGTTTCTTCTTTGACCCAACAACTTTTTTCAAGATTCAAAAAAAGGAGTTACGTCATTAGGATGTCAGCGTTCTGACTGACGAACCCAACCAAAGCAAGCATGGTCGAGACGATCCAATCTCCGAATGCAAAACTTTATTGAGTACATTGTTTCGGTACCGATGAGTGCAAAACCAGATCGAGCTAATTCTCATGCAAAGCCACATCATTAAAATAAGTGGTGGGATTCAATTTTTTTTTTTACTACCGGTTCTGTGGGCAATGCTTGGTGGGCGTGGCTTGGTGAGCCTGGCAGGGGGAGGTTCCTGCAAAATCCCCATTCCCTCCCCACCCCACTAACCTGCTTTCCAGCTCCGTTCTCCTGTGCAGGGCAACCAAAAGAGACCCAGCCAATCAGCTGGGACTCAATGGGAGGCAGAGAAGAGATGGGATTGGTGGGGCCAGTCAGAGGTGGGATTTGTTGGTTCTCTGAACCACTCAAAATTTCCACTACCAGTTCTCCAGAACCGGTTAAAACTGGCTGAACGCCACCTCTGATTAAAATATAGGATTCTCCCTCTCCCCTATTAGAGCCGGTCACATTGTCCAATGTGTTGTCTTTGTGTTGTTATGAGACAAAGTCTTTGGTTTTGGCAAACACCTGACCAAGTGTCCTTGGCTCTCACAGCTCGCCTGGAGAATACATTCCATGTCATTTGCACACCACACAACACTGCACTGTACTTACCTGACTTTCTCTGTTGGTGTGGTAGAAATACAGCATGGAGCCCCAAAGACCAGCCCAGTATTTCTTATAATTCTATTAAAATAAAAGAGAACAGAGGAAGGATTAAATGGGATTCTCTTGAAATGGTAAGGGCTTTGATCGATCTTACAATCCCGTCCTCCATCTTGACTTTTTTGCCCCAACTGCAGTCAAGAACAGATTGGACTTTTTTTTTTCTTCTTCTTTTTTCTTTGCAATTTCTGGGATTTCCAGAGAGAAAAATGTTCCATTGAAGTTCCATGTTTTACAGGTAGTCCTCATCTTATGACCACAACTGAGCCCTCAAGTTCATGTTGCTAAGTGAGACACGTGTCGTGAGTTTTTGCCCCATTTTATGACCTTACTTGCCACAGCTGTGAATTATTGCCCAGCTGGCTATTGTGCCTAAGGCAGGACTAGAACTCACAGTTCCCTGGTTTCTAAGCCAGAACCTTAACCTGGGTGGCGGTGGGGTGATTTTATTATATTAATTTATTATACGACTCTTCTTTTATTAGTTTTATTGTTTTTATATGAGGTTTTTTATTAATTCTGTAAGACGCCTTGAGTCACCCTGTGTGAATGGGCGGCAATATAAATTCCCTAACTAAATAAATACCATGTTTTCCCGAAAATAAGACTTTATCTTTTTTTTGCCACCCAAAAAAGGCTCCAGGTCTTATTTTCGGGGGGGAAGCCCTCCACTGACTAACTTCACTTGCGCGCGTCGCCCCTGGCTTCCTTTTCGCGTTCAGAGGCCTTCAGGAACTTCTTCTTCTGCGGCCGGCAAGGCTTTCCTGAAGGCCTCTTCAGCCAGTAACAGAGCTCTGGATCGATCCAGAGCTTTCTTATCAGCTCCAGAGGCCTTCAGGAGAGCCTTGCCAGCCTTGCCGGCTGCAGAAGAAATGGGCCGGCAAGGCAGGTGTCGGGGAGCGCGAGGCCTGGTTACAACTGTCCAAAGGTAAGTAGTAGGGCAGCTCCACACACCCACATCCCCACCCTAGCTTAATTTTTACCCGTCCACTCTGGAGTGGGTGGGATCTCAATTAAGGCTTATTTGGGGGGGGGGTAGGGCTTATATTGGGTGCATGCGTAAAAATCAAGCTAGGACTTACTTTCAGGGTAGGTCATATTTTGGGGAGAAACAGAGTCCACATAACAGACTCGCATTTCCCTGCCCTCACGGTCTGTTATTTTTGTAAGTTCCCGAAACATGGGATGACCAAATGCTTAGAAAAATAAAACAGAAACCCGAGACGTACAAAATACAAAGTCCAGTTTTTGTGTACCACCGTCACTGAATGACACCGATCGGCCCCTGAGGCCCACGGCAGCCAGGTCAAAAGAGTTATCAAAGTTTATTTTCACGTCATGAGCCAGAAACAAAGAGCTGGAGGTGGGGGGTCAACACCCCAACTTGAAGGGCTCTGAATTAGTGGATGGCTTTTCCAACAGCTGCTCTGCGTCTTCCTGCCAGCCTGACCAGGTAGACCAGTCAGGAAAAGTGACCAGAGGCTCATTCTACAAAGTGACCGAATCTTGCACTTCTGACTGTACAATGTTGTCCCTGTTTCAGTCTCTTTTACAGCCTGAGAAATGAGGCAGGGTCTTCTTCTATCCGTTATGCAGCAGAGGGCTATGTGGCCTCTTATCCAGGGGTGGGCTTCTGGGGGTTCACAGGGATTCGGAAGAGCCCCTTAGCTAAGATTCTGTGCAGTTTGGAGATCCCCCAAATCCCACTCCTTGTTCTCCCCCCCCCCCCCCCCCCGCCCCCCCCCCGCGCACCCCCCCCCCCGTGGCCCGTTTTCAATGCAGGTAAGTGCAGGCGCATGTGGAGACTTGGGGAGGGTGAAAAACGGGCCTCCTGGAAGTTCTGGAAGGCCAAAAATGGGCCCGTTTCTGGCTTCCAGAGAGCCTCCGGAGTCCGGGGAGGCAGTTTTCACCCTCCTGGAGGCTCAAGGAAAGCCTCGGGAGCCCGGGAAGGGAAAAAACAGCTGTGGAGTAGAAGGCCGACTAGGCCATGCCCACTATGGCCAGGCACATCCAGCAACTGAGCAGAGAACTGTTTGCTAAAATTTTTGGAGCCCACCCCTGCTCTTATCTGACTGTTCCCTAGCTAAAATGTATTCCCCCCCCATCTCTTATACAGCCTGAGAAACTAGGGAGGGTCTCTTCTGACCTTCTTTCTCCACCCGTTACACAGCAGAGGGCTATGCGGCCTCTTATCTGACGGTTCCCTGTCTAGAATGTATTCCCCATCTCCTGAGAAACTAAGGAGGGTCCTTCTTTCTCCACCTGTTATGCAGCTGTGGCGATGTTGCCTCTTATCCATTCCCTAGACAGCATTCCCACCCACCCCCACTTTACAGCCCCCCAAAATATGGAGGGGCCCTGCTAAACCTCTTCCTCCATCCATTATGCGGCTTCAGGCGATGCTGCTGTCAAGGCTGAAATTGACATAGGCGTAGCCATTTTATTTAGCATTATTATATATTCTTTTTCTTTCTCTCTCTTTGCTGGTTATGGGGGTGGGTGGGGGGGAAGCAGTGGTGGTATTCAGCCGGTTCGCACCGGATTGGGCGAACCGGTAGCAAGGATTTGGCATGGGTCAGCGAACCGGTAGTAAGTTCTGGCTGGCCACGGCCCTGACCCCGGTTGTCCAGTTGATGCTGGCCCACCCAATACTCACTCACCCCGTCCATCTGACGCTCACCCCTTAAGGTATTTCTTTCTTTCTTTTTTTCCCCTCCCGACAATCCGTTGTTCATACGATCAGCTGTGACGGAATTCCCCTTGCTGAGGCCCAGGAAGGCAAAAAAAAGGCTCAGGCCCACCCCTCCATTTTTTGCCTTCCTGAGCCTCAGAGGAGCCTTATGGGAGTAAAAACGCCCCCCCCCCCCCCGCCGAGGCTCTTCTGAGGCTCAGAAGGCCCCCAAAAACGGGTAGGGGGAGTGACTGCAAAAAAGCAAAACAAACAAACAAACAAAACCCCCACCTACCAAGCCATGCCCACAGAACCAGTAGTAAACATTTTTGAATCGCACCACTGGGGGGCGGGGGGAAGAGCTTTTGGGCTTGCCGCATTCTTAAGGTGGGAGGAGTAGAGATCGAATTGTTTAGGCTAGGTGGGTTCTTCTTCCCGTGGGAACAAAAGCCGACCCTGCTGAGACCTGGAGGTGGATATTGAGGACGCCAGGCAAATGTTGATTTCCTCCTATTGGGGAATGTGACTTTTGGGGGGCTGTTTCTAACTTCCGATATTATGTGGTGTAATTCCGGGTGGTGTCAGATCCGGAATTACCGTAGACTTTTGCCAGTGTGAAGCTTTCCGAAATAAAAGAAATGGTTTTGGAAGGCGGACTTTGCTCTTTTCTTTTTTTTAAGTGGATTTCATCACTTGGAAACCAGACGGCCGCCTCTTGCCTGACCGTTCACCAGGCAGCATCTCTTACCGCCACCCCCTCCTCTTTTACAGCTTGAGAAACGAGGGAGGGTTCCAGGGGTGGGCTTCAAAATTTTTAGCAACGGGGTTCTCTATCCGGTTGCTGAGTAGGCGTAATCAGGGTGGGCGTGGCCTAATTCAGGGGTAGGGAAACTTGGCTCTTTGATATCACTTATGGACTTCAACTCCCAGAATTCCTGAGGGAGCCATAAAAGGTTCCCCATCCTTGGCCTACTGTTTTTTTCAGTTCTGAGGGAAATCAATTTTTGACTTGAATGGGACTGTTCAGGAAGCGGTGTTTTCGCCCTCCCTGGGCTCCTGAGGCTTTCCTCTAGCCTCCGGGAGGGTGAAAACAGCCTCCCCAGGCTCCGGAGGCTCTTCGGAAGCAGGAAACGAGTCCATTTCCGGCCTTCCCGAACTTCCGGGAGGCCCATTTTTCACCCTCCCAGCGCCTCTGTGTGCACCCTGCATTTACCTGCATCTAAAACGGGCCATGTGGGGACCCCGGGGAGGGGAGGGGTGGGCAGGGCCAGCCAAGAGTGGGATTTGGGGGTTCTCCAATCTGTGCAGAATCTTAGCTGGGGGTTCTCCCGAAACCCCCCGCGAACCCCCAGTAGCCCATTCCCTGGAGAGTTCCTTCTAAATCTCTTCCTCCGCCTGTTATACAGCTGCAGGCTGGTTTATCTCTTATCTGCTTATTCCGAAGGCAACATTTCTTCCCGAGTCTCCGAAGAAACTAGGGAGGGTTTCTTGAGAGTTTCTTCCTCCATCCGTTATGCAGCTTCAGGCTACGCTGCCTCTTATCTGACTGCTCCTCCTAGGCAGCATTTCACCTTCCCCACCCAGCCCGTCTCCGTTAAAGCCCGAGAAACCGAGTTGGGGAGGGGATTGGTCCATTTTGAGTCCCTTTCTCCATCCGTTAGGCAGGGAGTCCTCGACTTACGATCACAAGGGAGCCCAGAACTCACTTTGCCAAAGCGAGGCCTTCGTTCGGCGAGCTTCGCCCCGTTTCCCCGCGCCTTTTCTTGCCGCATCGGTTAAACCGCGAATTGCCTGCGGCCGTTTAACTTAAGTTGCCAATCCGGGTTGTTGAGAGAAGCCGGCTTCCCCGTTGACTTTGCTTTGTCGGGAAGGGGATCTCGCAGGACGGCAGGGACACTGCGACCGTCGTAAATAGAAACAAGCCTCCGAGTGTTCGATCGGGAGATACCGCAACGGTCGTTAAGTGTGAAAAACGGACATCGGTCACTTTCCCCCCCACCTCACTGCCGTTGTAGCTTGGAACTGTTGTTAAGTCGAGGATTTATCTCTACAGCACAGGGCTAAGCCGCCTCTCATCTGTCCGTTCCGCGGGATCAATTTTTCGTCAGTCTCTCAAAGTCTTTCTCACTTACCTGTACACTTCCTAATATGCCAGACCAAGGCTTTAATTTGAAACCCACCGACCCACCCTGATTAAAATTCAGACCCTCCCCTCATTTCCCATGTGTGTGTGTGTTGGGGGGGGGGGAAACAGCTGTATTTCCCTCCCCACCACAGGTGGGCACAGCTTCCAAAGAGCCACCGTTCTGGTTTTCCCGCGGCCTTTTGACTTCCCCCATTTCTTTTCCCTAAGCAAGAGGAAAGTTACCTGGTCCCACGGATTCTTTTTCTCCAGGAAGCCCTCGTAGTAATGGGGGGGCAGAGTGGACTTGGCTTTGGCTGACCGCTGGCCTGGGGCGGCCATCGCTTCCCTGCCACTCTGGCCAGAGAAACCAGCGGCTGAAGGTTTCTCTCTCTCTTTCTCTCTGTGCAGAGTTGTGGAATCCACACCAGGAAGCAAAAATGCGATAAATTCAGTGGCACGGATTTTTTTTTTCTTTCTTCTTCTTCCTGGGGTTTTTTTTTTTTTTTTCCCCTAGATACCTGTAAATTTCCCCCGGGAGGCCGAACAGTCTGGCTGGTGTCCTTGGCCTCTCGGACCTTGGACAGGGGAAGGGGAAGGCCGGAGTATTTTAGCCAGGTGGTTTCTTTCTCGCTTGAGTTCACACGAAGAAAAGGAGGCGGCTGGCTTTTGTTCCGGAGGCAGAGACGATGCATTCACAGCCTTGCTGGTTGGTCCCAGCCGGCTGTCGCGATCCGTATCTGGCTCTGCCCCATCGGCCAAGCAAGTTTGGGGTGTTTTTTTTCCCCCCAAACGGAGGGGAAGAAAGGAGAGAAGAGGAGCGGGGTTTTCTGAGAAAGGGCAGAAAGCTGCTTTCAAGAAGTCCTGGCCCGAGTTCAAATCCAGCCTGTTTGCTGTTGGGGAAATTGAGGCTGAGTTCCTGATGACCATCAGGGGGCAGGAGAGAGAGAGAGAAAAAGAGAAAGGGAGGGAGGGAGAGAAAGAGTGAGAATGGGAGGGAGGAAGAGAGAAAAAGAGAAAAAGAGCAAGAGGAAGGGACGGAGGGAGAAAGAGAGAGAGAGAGAAAGAGCGAGAGAAAGGGGGGGGAGAGAGAAGCAAGAGAAAGGGAAGGAGAGAGAAAAGAGTGAGAGAATGGGAGGGAGGGAGAGAGAAAGAGCAAGAAGAAGAGACCAAGGGAGAGAGAGAGAAAGAGAGAGAGGGAGGGAGGAAGAGAGAGAAAGAGGAAAAGAGAAAGAGTGAGAGAATGGGAGGGAGAGAGAGAGAGAAAGAGCGAGTGAAAAGGAGGGAGGGAGGGAGAGAAAGAGAGAGAATGGGAAGGAGGGAGAGAGAGAGAAAGAGAGAGAGAAAGGGAGGGAGAGAGAGAGAAAGAGAGAGAGAAAGGGAGGGGGAGAGAGAGAAAATGAGCAAGAGAAAGTGAGGAGAGAGAAAGAAAGAAAAAGAGAATGAGTGAAAGGGAGGGAGGGAG